GAAGGGTGCAACAATGAATGAATGGAATCCCAAAATCTCTGTAGATGTTCATTGAAATGAAAAATAAACAACCTAAATTTAAAAAAAATTAAAAAAAATGGTATCTTGAATTTCCATTAAACTATCTGCTCTTATGAGCATGTGTTACAGGTACAAATTTATTCGTAAGATTAACACGCCTCATGTGGAAGATTTAAAAAAAAAAACAAACAGGCCTCAAAAAGGGAGGAAAGCCTCAATAAGCTCCATTCAAAATGAAAGAAAAATAATATTGCAATAAGAGAAGAGGTCGCCATTCAAAACCAAGGAAAATAAAACTCTGGAAAAAATTAAACAGAACAATTTTCATTTTTGTTATTGTTTTACGAACAATTTCTCTACCTATGGCATATTTATAGGGCACTCTGGTGGCCTAGTGGTAAGAAAGTGCACTACAATCCTGAAGGCACGTGGTTCAAATCTACCAGCTGCGTCATGATAGAAGGATGGACATTTTCCTCCCGTGCAATTTACTGTCTCTGAAACCCCACCAGAGGGTCAGCTATGGTTCTGACTCACCAGTACGCAAAAACAACAGCAACTTCATGGTGTGCTTATAATAATATAAAGTTTATAATTTTCACAAATTGGTATAAGATATTAAGTGAAAAATATTATTGGAAAAGATTTACAAGCAGTAAGTACTAAATGTATGACACGGTGAAGCCAAAGTGGTCTGTCCATGGTAGAGCACTCCTCACCAATTTCGCCTGCTGTGCAAAATGAGAAAGTAGTCAAGTAGGTAGCGGATGAAACGATGTTTAATTTTCTAAATGTTCCTCTCTTCTTTTAACAGTATCTGCTGGGGTTTTTTTAGAACTTTCATTACATGCTTTGCCAAAATCTATCTTCTCAAGGAACTAGGGAGGAAAAAAAGTGAGAAAACCCCGATTAGATCAACAAACAAAAACTGCACAGCCTTCTCTGCCTTACCGCCACCCACACCCAATTCCTCACACTGACAGACTTCTGCATGCTACACAAAATCAAATCAACATTGGTTGGTCTTTCAAATATAATTGTACGACATGAGAAATGCCCAGAAACAGTTCACACTTGTTTCCAAGTTTGTTTCAGCCCAAGTCAACATAGTCTGTACTGGTCATCCTCATTGCTGAAACCTGGGACCTATCTGTGAGGCAGAGAGTGTGAAGCAATGGGTAATGCATAAAAGTAAAGAGAGAATGCACACGCAGTAGAGACTGGAATGCAAGAGAAGACTACTGGGGATGAGATAGATTGACTCAGTGGCCAGGGTAATGGGAGTAGGTGTGTCAGAGGCAAATTGGCTCAGGATAGTGTTAAGAGCTGTTGTACATAGGGTCCCTTAGAGTCACAAAGTGACTTGATGGCACATAACAACAACATGTGGTCTCAAGTGAGTCCAGACTGATGAGGAAGGCACAGGCCAGGACAGGGTTCAGGCCTGTTGTTGATAGGGTTGCTAAGAGTCATACTTGACCCAACAGCACCTGACTACAACATGCTCATGTGACAAATGCTCATGTGTTCACAAATATGAACATAAACACAAACTTTACAGTGCATTATGAGAGAAAGAATATGCATGTTCCCACCTATATTTGAATAAATACACATGCAAGCACTACAATACTGAAGACACGCGGTTTGAGGCCACCAGCTGCTCAGTGGGAGAAAGATAGTCAATCTCTGGTTCAATCTACTGCCTCTGAAAACCCACTGGATGGTCAGCTATGGGTCAGTTCTAACTCCATGGCAAACAACAACATAATAGCAGATTCTCTCCTCTCATTTAGCAAATATAAGTAAAAGATACAGGGTTTCTGATTCACTGTTGGTGG